CCCTCTCTGGGCGCGCGCCACGGCCCGCTGGTAATGCCCATCCTGGAGAAGACTTGCTTTGGCCGCACCGGTGTTTGTCCGAGGGTCTAAAGTCCCTGGAGGATGACCTAGCACTTGGAAGCCCCACCGGCCTACTGAGGGCCCCCGTGGATGCGCCGGCCCGACCCGCAGCTGCGAGGCGGGCAGGCACCCAGACTTGCGACCCTCCGCACCCTCGGGTGCCGGGGTTCTGGGCCAGGCGCGCCTCTTGAACTCAAGACTAGTACAATCGTTTCTTTTCGAAGAAGGGTTTCCTCTTTTTTTTTTCCTTTCTTTTTCTTTCTTTGCGTTTTTGTTGATTTTTGGTTTGGGGTTTTTTGTTTTTTTTTTTTTGAGAAGGGAATTTTAGGGGGACAAAAGGAAGAACCGTGCGTACCAGGGGCAATAGATAAGGGACCGCCGGCGAGAATCGGAGGCGTTGGGTCCAGGATGGATGTGGCCGACCCGCAGCAGCTGGGCATGTTTACAGAGGGGGAGCTGATGTCCGTGGGGATGGACACGTTCATCCACCGCATCGACTCCACGGAAGTCATCTATCAGCCCCGGCGCAAGCGGGCCAAGCTCATCGGCAAGTACTTGATGGGAGACCTGCTGGGGGAGGGGTCCTACGGCAAGGTGAAGGAGGTGCTGGACTCAGAGACGCTGTGCAGGAGAGCTGTCAAAATCCTCAAGAAGAAGAAGTTGCGAAGGATCCCCAACGGGGAGGCGAACGTCAAGAAGTAAGTGTGGGCTTCCTGGGTCAGTGTGCGGCCAGCCAGCAAGGTTGGTCACCTTCCTGCCTGCCTGCCTGCCTGCTTGCCTGCCTTCCCTTCTTCCTTCTCCTTTTCCTTAAAATTTGGAAGTGACCAGCCAGCTCCTGTGTGGTGCTTGCCAGGGAAAGTGTTGTTGGGAACTGCTGAAGGACTCTGACGAAGTCATGCTGGCTTGTTGCAGCTGGGTGTCCCTTTTCTTCAGATGATGGTGTCACAGCCCTTTTTTTTGGGGGGGGGGATGCACCCATCCCCTTTCACCCTCCCAGCTGTCCGAAGAATTTAGGTGCCCAGTAGAACCAGCCAATGTTTATTTGGCCCTGAGAATTTGTGTTCCTGAACGGCCCTGGCCGCCACCAGCAGGTTTTCTGTGCAGAGTGCAGCTGTTACTAGGGCCCTGCGAAATGCGATTTGTTTACCCTGTTGGAGGGGAGCCCTGCGGTTGCCAAAAATAATTGTTTGCGCTGGCTTATCGGTCAGCAGGGGGTAACTTAGCCCTTTTTTGCTCACTTGGGATGTGACACTAGACACATCCGTGACTGCAGGCCCAGGTGACTCCCTGGGAGAGGAATCAGCTTGTGTCCTGGCTAACTTTATACCCAAACTTCTTCGGGCATGTGTCAGCGCCCAGGCATCACAGAGGTGTTGGAGGCCGCCTGCAGGAGTCTTCCCAACTCCCAAGGATGGTGGGACTCCTGTCTCCATCCCTCTTGTTGGGTTCAGGAGTGGGCACCCCTCCTTACGGCTGCCACCCACTGGGACCCCGCCCTGCCTGGGCCCATGCTCCTCCCAGCCTCCAGTTTCCAAGAAGGGGTTTATCTAACGGGCCAGGCGGCAGGACTGACTGACGACCTTGGACGTCCCAGCACGTCCCAGCATTGACCCTCCCTCCAGGCCCATCCTGGAAAGTGCTGCTCCCCTGTCCGCTTTCGCCTCCCCCCTTCCTGGCCTAGCCTGCACTCACGCATAAGCTGAGCTGTTTTCACTTGCTCTGTTCACTTGCTCTGGGCTGGCTTGGGTCTGGGCGTGGTGGAATTGTGGATGGAACAGAGAACCAAAACTGGGCTGACTCTGGTGTTGGTGCCCCAGCTAGTCATAGCAGTTGGCTTCCAGTGTGGTCCAAAGGCAAGGTGGGCGGTATCTTGAGGCCTCTTTAGTCTTCGTGCCCCAGCCTGTGGACGTGGAGCAGGGATGGCCGGGTGCTCTAGGGCCCGTCTCTTACCTGTGAGGACTGGGCAGGGGCCCCTGTGTGCTGGGGGAGACTGAGGCAGGGGGCAACCCAGCACCCTCCTGAGGTCCACATGACCCCTCACCCCGAGTCCGAAATCCCCACTCAACTGCTGGCTTCTAAGTCCTGTTTTCTCATGAAGCAAGAAGCAGCTGGGGGTTATGTGGCCTCAGGCTGCTGGTCTGCCACCGCTGGAGGTTGGGGGGCAGTGACCTCCTTCTTCCTGGCTTCCTGGATCCTGCCCTGGAAACAGGCCTCTCCCGATCTCCGGGGTCCATCTTTGTCCTGCTGGCTCCTCTCAGGTCTCATCCCCTGTTACGTCCGGACAGCAGGGTGCTGGTTTCTTCCTGCCTGGTTGAACTCTGCTCGTTGGAGGCAGTGCGGGTCCATGGAGGTATTCTGGCTGGCCATGTTGCTCCGTGCTGCTCTGGCATCCCAGGCCCAAGCCTCCTGGGAGCAGCACCCCGAGGTTCCCAGACTCCCCAGGTCTGTTCAAGGGCCCGCGCTGGGTTCCAGCGCCAATTGATGTGTGGCTAGAGGCTCCTTCACATGATGTGTGGAAGAAGCTCCTTCTTCCTGGCTTCCTGGATCCTGCCCCTGGAAACAGGCCCCAGAAGTCTGCGGACCCCTGCTGCGATGGGCGGGTGTTGTTGGGGTGGGCAGGTGCCGCCTCTGCCGAGGAGCAGGGCACATGCTGCGGAGGTGCTCATTCACGAGACGCAGTGTGCGTCTCACAAACGCACACACCCAAGGTCAAGTTAGAGGAAAGTTGCCGCCTCCCGGAGTTCCCTTGTGCTCCGAGGGAGGCACAGATGGCCAGAAGCTGACCGGAGGGTTGAGGAACACTGGCGTCCCAGTCTCCGCCTTCCTGGATGGTCAGTCCGGGCCCCAAGAGCTTGTGGAGACATCTGGGTGTGCAGTGTTGGGGCTGCAAGGAGCTCGGTCCTGCAGTGTCCATCAGAAGAACCTGAGGGGAAATTGAGGCCCGGGAGGCTGAGTGTTGGGGGTCCCCAGCTGGCTTGGCAATTAGCATTAGGTGTCACAGCTGCAGGGCACTGTGCCCATTTCATCAGCTCAGGGCCCGGCTCTCATAGGAAGGAAAGGGGTGTCCTTGCAAGCGGAGGTCCGGGCTCCCCGGCCAGCCTTGCCAGCCGGCTGCAAGGAAGAAAGGCTCCTTTGTCTTTGAGAGGCTTAATAAACTCCACTAGCTTTTCTCCAAGTGAAGTGTCCGGAACCTTCCAGACAAGCGTCAGGAGTCCCGACTTGGATCAGAAGCTTTTTTCTTAAAGAATGATGTCTGTGACCAAGGTTGGGAGGGGGCTCAGGACGTCCCCCCTTCATGTGGTTTCCTCCCAGGAACTGCCATGGGCCTGCACTTGCCCTCTCTCTCCTTCGCGATTCTTTAAATTAGTAGGTTCTTGTTGTAGAGCAAGAAAGTTTCAGAAAGCTTCAAGTAAAAAAAAGAATCATTCATGATCTCAGAACTGACCCATCTTGCCACATACCCTTCAAGTCTTTTTGGTTGTTTTTTTAATCTGTCCAAACACCTTTTATATGTCCTATCGTTTTTATTATTGTAATTTTATTCTCCATCATTTTTAGAAAATCAGTGTACTTGTTTTTCTAACAGGCAGTAAAATCACACGGACTGACCCCGTAAAAGTTGGGAAGACGGTGTGTGTGGAGTCTCCCTCCGGGGGCAGCGAGGGTGACCCCCTGCCATGCGTCCTGCCGGCAGGGTTTTGTGCAGGGAGAGCAGACCTGCACGTACTCCCCAGGCGGCTCAGTTCAGAGGGCAGCTAGGGAATCGTTCGGCCGCACAGGCCACGCACACTGAGCATCCATGCGGGAGCGGCGGGAAGACAGCCGCCGGCAGCAGGTGCGCCCTCCACAACGTACAGACGGCGCAACTCACTTTTCAGGCTCCTGCGTCACAGGACATTGTTCCCTGTGGGGTTTTCTTCCATCGATCGCTCGTTGCTCACCGCCCTGTGATCACTGTCACCGTCACTGTTGCCCCTCAGGCTGTGCTTCTTGGACCCCTGTCCTTGTGCCTGAGTCAGTCTGCTTTTCTAACGTCAGGCTTCCAGGTCGGGTCTCCACGGTGGTCTTGTTGGGGGTGGCTGGGCTCCATGGCCGGGTCTAACCTACCTTGTGCTGGTGGCTCTGTTTGCTGTGGTGGTGAATTACTTTGTGTCACGGTCCCATGATAAGTGCAAGGGTATTTGAAGGGCATGTCCCACAAGTGGAGATTTTGGGTCAGAGGGAGCATGTGTACATTTGATAAGCGACGTCCAGACTGCCGGTCCCCCCAGCCTCCCCGGCCAGTCTCGTCCAGCTGGCTTCTACGCCTGAGTGACCACCAGGAGCACCGGGTCCCCTGCAGACGGGCGGCAGCTCTGTAAGCAGGTGCCGGTTTCCAGGCTGGGGCCTCAGTGAGGCTGGGACTGCCTTGTGGTGATTGGCGGATAGTTGGATCTGGGTAATGAGTGGTTGGGATTTGAGTGTGTCCCGAATCAGAGCTCTGGACTTTGTCGACTCTTGTTCTTGTCCCAAGTGGCCTCTACGGTATCTGTCCCTCCCCCCGCCTCGTATTGGGAAGGGTTCCACTGTGCGCCCAGGCTGGCTGGCCGCCAGAGGTGGCAGCAGGAGGGTGAGGCAGCTCACCCACAGTGAAGGTCCCTGGTGTCTGGTCTTTCCCTCTCGGGGGTGTGGGTGGGGCGCTGATTCTGAAATGTAGAGCTTGGGGCCACACTGGGCTCTAGGGGCCGTCGGGACGTGTGCCAGTCCTGGGAGTGTATGGAACGCTGCAGAAGCTGCCCTTTATCCTGGATCCACCATGTGGCCGAACTGTAGTTTATTCTTGCAACAGCTTTATCGATACATAACTCACATACCGGACTTCATAGCGTTAAGGTGTATTTCATTGGCAATAACCGGGTTGTGAAACTCAACACTGCCTAACTGCAGAACATTTCAGCTCCCCAAAAAGAAACACCACCCCATCAGCGGTCACCCCCCATCCCCTCCAGCCCCCCGCCCCCACGGGCCCCCTTCCTGTCCGCGAATGAGCCTGTTCTGGACGTGTCACCCACGTGGATTCACACCCCGTGTGGCCTTCCGTGTCTGGTTCCCTCCCTGAGCGTCGTGGGCTCGGGGTCCGTCCCCGGGGCAGCGCGGCCATGGGACTCTCCTGTGTGTGGGTGGACACGTTCTGTTTGTCCGTTTACCCACTGATGGGTCTTTGGGTTGTATCCACTTTTATGAGTCATGCTGCTGGAGACGTGTGGACAAGTATTTGTGTTGAGCTGCACTTTTAGCAATTTCTCGTTTGAGTCTCCTTCCTGGACCTCTGAGGGCCTCGGGTCATATGTTTAGAAGCATCAGCAGAGGGGCTAAGGTGAGGGGGATTGTGCTCAGTGTCCCTCCTCCAGGGCTGCCATTGCCCCTGGCCCGCCCCTGGGGCACCCAGCGGACCCTTCTTTGTCTGCAGGGTCCTGACCTGTGGGGAGTTCCCTGGGCGGCTCAGTCTCACTCCGGCATGCGTGGAGCTGATGCTTCTCAGGGCAGTGGCCATGGGCCTGTCCCTGTGTGTTTTGTTTTGGGCTGACCTGACCGTGGAGGCAGCTTTGTATTTCTCTGTAAGCTTGAATGGCTTTATGACCCCCATTCAGTTTTTCTTGTGGTTAATCAACAAGTGAACTAATAAGCAGTCCACTTGGTTAGGCAGCAACCCTGGGCAGGTCCCAGGCAGCCGGGGGGGGGGGGCTGTTAGTGACCGCAGAGCGGAGCCCCTGTGGGGGAGGCGGGCCGGAAGGCACCATTTCCTCTGCCTTCACTTCCTGCATCCTGGCTGAGCTCCTCGCTTTTCCTTTCTCGTTAAACATTGTTTTTTCTTGTTTTTGGACCCGAGATATAATTTGTAGGAGACATTGAAAACACAGAGGTGGTAGAAACCCTTTAGTACGCCCGGAGGTCACTGGGCAAGTGGCTGGGTGCACCCTCCTCCCGCGTTCTCTCTGGTGAAGTTCAGTGCGCATGGCTCCCACCGTCCCTTCTGTTAGAGCCTGGCGTTGTGTCCGTTCTCTTCTGGTGTGGAGAAGGTGGCTTACGCGCTTACACACGATGCTGTGATCACAGTTACCCGAGCAAACAGATGAGCAGTCCAGCACACCCGTGGTGGGTCAGCCTGGTTCTGTTAGAGTGGGGCCTTTTTTTTGAAGAACATACTTTACGGGCAATGGAGTAGGAGTGTTGAGCTGTTCCGTTGCAGAGGAAGGGGTGCTGCCCTCTGCCTTGGTTTGGAGTTCCGGACATGAACTTGTCACAGAGGATGAACGTTTATGTGGTGGTGGATTCATCCTGACGGCAGTGGGCGCAGGGGGAGACAGGAGAAGAGAATGCAGAGCAGTGGGGTCCCTGCCCCCAGAGCTGCTGTGCAGTTTTGTTGGCTGGCTGTGTTGGGAATTTGGAAGTGTGGTCGCCGGCACGGGTCACCAGAGGCTCGTGGAGCTCAGCTGTAAACTCTCCAGTCCCGCTTCCTCGGCACCTGCCTCCACAGGTGGCTGCCATTCAGCTGGATAGAGGAAAGGCCTCCTTGTCCCAACACGTGTGTTTTGTTTTTATCCTTGTAATTTTTATTTTATTTTATTTAGTTTTTTAAGTAGGCTGCACGCCCAGTGGGGGACCTGAACTCACCTCCCTGAGGTCAAGAGCCCCGTGCTCTCCCGACTGAGCTGGCTGGGCGCCCCGTCAACACATGGTTTTACTTATGTCGCACCTCAAGTGATCTCTTTGGATGAAGAAGAAAAGCGCCCTGAGGTCGGGAGGTTGGTGTGGACGGCTCAAGGAAGCTTCTGGCTCCCCGGGCTGCCGTCAGCTGACCTGAGCTGTCCCAGCGTGTCAGGGAGCCTCATTCCGACGCTGGGTGGCAGTTCCCAGTCCTGTGTGCTGTCCCAGGAAGCTAGAGCTCAGAGGAGCTGGGTGCTGTCTCTGAGGCTGGCCCTGCAGGGCTTGCTAATCTAGCTCGCGGCCTGTGTGCATGGCCTTCTCCTCTGGGGCTTTCTCACTCCCGTGCCTTTGCTGAATCCACCCTGGCTGCAGACCCGTGACAGTCGCCCACGCAGCTGCCTCCCCGGCCTGGCTGCTGACCAGGTGGCTCAGTGGGTGTCGGCCTGACTGGTGGACAGCAGGTGCTGGACGGTGCTCTCCTAGAGGCGCTGCTCTGCACTCCCACCAGGCAGCACGTGGTGGTGAGGCCCAGGGCCGCTGGCTGGGGGCTGACTGGGGGCCAGGCCGTGGAGACGGGTGTTGCTACCACCATCTGTCAGGTGGAAATGGGGTGTAACGGGCCATTGCATGGAGAGTCTCTGGGTCATAGGTGAGCTCTGGGCACTGGGCGCAGGGCGGGAGAGTCCGGGCAATGGGATGGTTTGGGTGGGGGAGGGGTGGAGGAAGGAGCGAGGGAGGAAGGTGGGGCCTGGGTTCCAGGGACGACTTGCACTGGTCCAGAGGCTCCAGGATCTGCTCCAGGATCTGCTCCAACCCATCAGGGACCTTCTTGATCCTACGCAGAACTCTCACCCGACACTGTCCCGCCCCCAGAGGACAGTGGGCTATGTCTGGAGATGTCTGTGGTCATCAGGACTGGGGTTACTCCTGCCACCGAGGGGGTGAGGGCCAGGGCTGCTGCTGCCCCCCCACCACAGTGCCCAGGAGGCTCCCACAGAGAGTCACCTGCCCAGAATGTCAGCAGGGCCAAGGGGGACAAACTCTGCATTAATTGTTTGGAAAATATAATGGTCTGACCCCCGCTCACGCTGGACAGCAGAGTAAACCCCCAGGCGTCAGAGGGGACAAACCAGGGCGACCCCAGGGTCTGTGAGTCACCCCCACTCAGTGTGTGTAGTGAAGTGTGTGCAGCATCCCGGGAGCTCAGGAGTCAGATGGTTAGGGCACCATCTGAGCAACAGGGAAAACCAGAGTAGAATTCTTGTCGCACCCAGAGCCCTCTGGTAGGGGTGGGAACGGGTTTCTGTTGGTGAGTTTCTGGGAAAGTGGCCGCAAGGCTGTCTTTGTTCTGCAAGTTGATGGCCTCCCGGGCTGTGGGTCTGGGGCCCTGGCAGCTGTATGGCCATAGTTGCTGGGGGGTGCAGGCTTCACGGCCCTACAGAGGGCCTGCGCCCAGGAGGGTGAGTGGTGTCGGGCCCAGGATTCATGCACTGGGAGGGGGTGGCTGTCAGGAAGGGCCTCCTGGAAGAGGCAGCCTTCCCCCAGAGCCTGGACAGCGGGACGGATGTGACCTCAGTCTCAGGAGGACAGGACCTCCCCTGCCCAGCTGTTCTTAGGTCCCATGCTTGGGCTTCCTGGTGAGGACTTCTTAAAAAACTTTGTTGACACATTATTCATAATCATACAATTTGGTGGCATTTAGTGTATTCCTAGGGATCCCCTTTATCTTATTCCAGAACATTCCATCTCCCCAAAAGCAACCCCACCCCCATTAGCTGTCACCTCCCCCGCTCTCCCCAGCCCCTGGCCCCCGCGAGCCCCCTTCCCCCCTGTGGATGAGCCTGTTCTGGACGTGTCACCCACGTGGACTCACACCCCGTGTGGCCTTCCGTGTCTGGCTCCCTGCCTGAGCATCGTGGGCTCGGGGTCCGTGTGGGTGCCTCGCTCCTGTTTGCAGCTGCGGGACGCTCCCATGTGTGGGGGACACGATGTGTTTGCCCGTCCGCCTGCCCATGGACACTGGGGCTATTCCCACTTCGGGGCTTCTGTGGATCATGCTGCCGTGAACATGCTCATGCGTCTGTGTGGACGTGCTCCAGTTGTCACGGGCGCCTACCTGCTGTGGAGTTGCTGCTTCTGCTGGTAACTCGACCAAACCCTCCCCCAACACCTGCTAGCTGTGTGGGCCTCTCTGCTGCTCAGACCCTGGACAGGTGAAGCATCAGATGGCCATCTGCGGAGCAGGCGGCGCTGGGCGTGGGCCCGTGGGCGAGGTTGGTGCCAGGTGGGCGGCTGCCGTGGCAGCCATTCTGGTGGGGCTGGTGGGGCTGCTTTCTCGCCATACCTGGGCTGCAGCAGCTGAGGTCTCCAGGGCTCTCGTGGGAAGGGCTCTCCATCCTTCCTGCAGGGCTATGGGGGACCAGGGAGAAGGAGAGGAAGGGAGTCCTCGGGAGACATGGGTCCAGCTGTGGTGTGTTGCCTGGGGCTTTGTTCCTACAGAGAGGCACAGCAGGGATGCCGGGGTGGCCTGGCCTTCCTGGGTAACTGAGCCCCAGCTCCTGCATGTAGTAGGTGCTCATTCCACACTTGACCTGCTGTCTTTATGCCACATCGCTGTGGTCTTTTATAAAGAAAAACTGTTCCATTAAAATGTTTATTTTTTTTAAGATTATGTATTTATTTATTTGACAGAGAGACACAGTGAGAGAGGGAACAAGCAGGGGGAGTGGGAGAGGGAGAAGCAGGCTTCCCGCGGAGCAGGGAGCCCGATGCGGGGCTCGATCCCAGGACCCCGGGATCATGACCTGAGCCGAAGGCAGACGCTTCTCCAACTGAGCCACCCCCCGTTAAAATGTTTAAAAAGCATCCTGATTGGGGCGCCTGGGTGGCTCAGTTGGTTGGGCGACTGCCTTCGGCTCAGGTCATGATCCTGGAGTCCCGGGATCGAGTCCTGCATCGGGCTACCTGCTCGGCGGGGGGTCTGCTTTTCCCTCTCCGCTCCCTCCTCTTGTGCTCTCTCTCTCTCTCACTCTCTCTCTCTCAAATAAATAAAATCTTTAAAAAAGAAAAAAAAAAAAAAGCATCCTGATTGCATTGTCCCTGTCGAAGTCCCCCAGACTCAGGGGGAGACCTTGTTGCTGTCACTGGATGGAGCTGCTCGCTTGGAAGGGGCAGCAGAGAAGCCTCTCCTGGTTCTCCGGGTCCCCCCCCCGCCTCAGAGCCTGGTGTGTCCTCTGCATGGCACCCAGAGGGCGAGCTCTCCCTTCTTACCAAGCAGAGCGAGCAGGGTTTCTGAACAAACACGGCACCAGCCATTCTCGCTGGCGGGTCGGCTGACGCCTGTTTTCTGTCTTTAGGGAAATCCAGCTACTGAGGCGACTGCGGCACAAAAACGTCATCCAGCTAGTGGATGTGTTATACAACGAAGAGAAGCAGAAGATATATCCTTGTGGCAGCCGACCTGCCAGAGCGCCAGGTCAGGGCTACGCTGGAGGGGAGTCGGGGGTAGGGCGCCGGGTGCTGTCTCCTGACCCTCCACGCGCCCCTCTGTGACTCTGGCTGGAAGACTAGCTGGCCCAGGAGCTCCTGAGGCAGCGCCAGCCCCAGTCCGTGGTTGGCCTTCTGCACCTGGTACCGTCGGGTCACCTGCCGGGTCCCCGTGGCGTCTCAGACTTCCTTCACTCGTGTGGATGCTGGGCTCCTCCCTTCACCCTGTGCCCCAGAGTGGGAGTGCTGGGTCTGGGTGACCCTGGGTCTGGGGGGCCTCGTGGCGAGGGCTCTCCTTGCCTCTGGCATTCAGGCCCCCGTCTTGCCCTTCAGGGCCGCTCTGTTTGGGGTGGGACGTGGGGTGGGGAGTGTATCATTCTGCAGGAATGCTTCCCTGGGAGTGTCCTTGGGCTTTTGCCCTTTACTCTCTGGGGATGGGCTCCACCTCCTCAGGGTGGTGTGGCTCTGGCCAGCTCCAGGTCTAGGGAGCAGGCGTATGGGGGCCCTAGGTCTAGCCGGGGGGCTGCCGCCTTCCCACGGAAGTGCTGGGCATGGGGTGATGGGGTTTCCAGCACGTGGCTCCTCTCCAGCTTGCTCTCGTGGCCACCTCCGCTGGAGACACAGTGGGGGCTTTGTCCTTCTCCCCTGCTGGCCTGAGACACTCAGCCACTTCCAGTGTGGCCCAGCCGCCCCTAGGCCTTCATCCCCCTGGCTCCGAGGCCCCATCCTCTTCCCGCTCGGAGCCCCTCGTCCTCCTGTGTTTCCCATCAGTCCGCATGCCCTCGTCCCACCTGCCCCTCCCTCCTGTCCTGCAAGCTTTGTCTCCTCACCTCCTCTGGGGCTGGGGGTGGGGCTGGAGCTCCTCAGGGTGTTGAATACCTGGGGAGGGCTTCTTGTGGGTCTGGGGCACTGAGCCCAGACGAGGTGGCCACAGATCTCTAGGAATTGACTCTGGGAGGGTCAGTGGAGGGGCAGAGATGCCCTGCAGGCCCTGTAATCCTTCTGGTCTTTCTTGTTGTCTTTGGGTGCTCCTGCTTATCTTTGTTAATACAGTCATCAGATGTGGTAGGGGTCTTCTCCCCCAGGCCCTCCCCACGAGCATCTGCCATCTGTTCCCTGGGGGTAGGCCCTGCCTGGGGTGGGGGTCTCTGCCAATCCATGGTTTCCTTAGCACCGCACGTATATGGTGATGGAGTACTGCGTGTGTGGGATGCAGGAGATGCTGGACAGTGTGCCGGAGAAGCGCTTCCCCGTGTGCCAGGCCCATGGGTAAGTGCCTGCTACCGGGGCCCCATGGCCACCCCTCCCTCCTGCGGGGTTGCCCACCAGCCCATGGGCTTCAAGGATCCAGTCCCATGTTCAAATGAGGTTCTTTTCTTTTTCCTTTTTTTTTTCCCCCCGAGAGTGAGAGTGGGGTGGGGGGGACAGAGAGAGAGAGAGAGAGAGAGAGAGAGAGCAAGTCGGGGGAGGGGCAGAGGGAGAGAGAATCTCAAGCAGACTCCCTGCTGAGTGCGGCACCCAGCGTGGGGCTTCATTTCACGACCCTGAGAACACTACTTGAGCCGAAACCAAGAGTCAGACAGTTAACCGACTGCACCACCCAGGTGCCCCTCAAACAGGTTTTCTGATCACCAGTGAAATGAAAGCTCCGGTGTGTTTTAAGCCTCAGCTTTGGGGGCTCAGTCTGCAGCACGCTCAGCCCAGCTGCTGCAGCCCCTTTGCATACCTCCCTGCCCCACGTGCCCCCTGCCTCAGGCTGTGAGACCTCTTGGTCCCTGAGAAGTCCCTGAGCTGCCACAGGCCAGCTGGCCCTCCTGGGGGTGGGGGGTGGGGGGTGGTCAAGCGTCCCCGGCCCTGGGGGGCACTACCAGGGAGGAGACATGGTCACGTCGAAGCCAGACCGATTGGAGGACCCAGCACGGCCGTTGGGCTCGTGGGGAACATGACGAAGGGCGGCCTGGGTGGGGGGAGCCGCTGGGGGCCAGGGAGCCCTCCTCTGCCTTCCCCAGGTGGCTCAGGTTGGAGCGGTCCATAGGCCTCGTGGGGCAGGAATCGCTTGCAAGGATCCCGTCTTTGGTCCTGCCGGGTTGACCCCAGGTGGCTGCTGTGCCAAGGGGGCCCCGGTGGACGAGACGGCACCTTCGGCGGGGCAGGTTACGGAGGTCCCGCCCCTGCAGGTACTTCTGCCAGCTGGTAGACGGCCTGGAGTACCTGCACAGCCAGGGCATCGTGCACAAGGACATCAAGCCGGGCAACCTGCTGCTCACCACCGGTGGTACGCTCAAGATCTCCGACCTGGGTGTGGCTGAGGTAGGTGCCCGCCATTCAGCACGGGGGGTGGGCGCGGCCCCGCAGGGCTGCTCCCTGAGGGCCACCTGCTGCTGCTGCAGGCCCTGCACCCCTTTGCCGAGGACGACACGTGCCGGACGAGCCAGGGCTCCCCAGCATTCCAGCCTCCTGAGATTGCCAATGGCTTGGACACCTTCTCTGGCTTTAAGGTGGACATCTGGTCAGCTGGGGTCACTCTGTAAGTGCCCAGGGGCTTTGGTCCCCCTGCTCTGCCCCCCTCCCCCAGGGGCCCCTCCTTTGCCCACCGAGGACTCAGGCACCCGCTTTGGGCCCCAGGCTTCTAGAACCTGCCCCTCTTAGTGGGTCCCCCAGACACCATTCTGGGGTATGCCGGGGTGGCCAGAGTGTCAGACAGACGGTGGAGCCAAGATTCGGAGCCCCCTGTGGGTAGGAGCACATGGGACTGCTCCCCACCTTGTGGGGTTCTCAGGGTCAGAGACCTGGTGTGGGGGCATGCACACAGACTGGCCGTCCTCCTTGGGCCGCCCCCGCCTTCTGCTTGGTTGCTGAGGGCTCGTCCTGGTCTTCCCACTGGTTTACATGGCAGGTTGGAGTGTTGCTCAGCCGTTAGGTGCCCCCCACACGGATTCTGCTTTCCCATCCAGCAGGGCACAGTCCTGAGCACTCGTGCGTGAGCCATGCTGAGTGGGCTGCGGTGTTCTGTGGGACCCTCTTCCCTCCCGAGGTGGGGTGTGCGCCGCAGAGATGCACAGGCCTAGCCCAAGCACTGACCAGCGCCGTCCAGAACCTTCCGTCCTGGCCCCGCCTGCAGGGCAGCTGCTGGCTGGCGTCGGTGGTCCATTTTATTTTTATTTGGTTGATTGGTTGGTTGTAGGCTCCACCCTGGGCATTGTGGAGCCCGGCGCAGGGCTTGAACTCAGCGACCCTGAGATCAAGACCTGAGGATGAGATCAGTTGTCGGATGCTTAACCGACTGAGCCACCCAGGTGCCCCTATTTTATTTTATTGAGAGAGAATTCACATACCACAAGATGCACCCTTTTAAGACCTACAGTGCAGTGGGTTTTGGTATTTTCAGAGTGGTGCATCCCCCACCACCATCTATTCCAGAGCATTCCTGTCGCCCGGTATGAGGCCCCACAGGTGAGGGTGGTTTAGGGCTCCTGTGCCAGGCTGGTTCCAGGCCGGGGCTGCAGGAGAAGCCCCAACTGACGGGGCCTCTCTCCTTCCCTCCGGGGGCGAAGCTATAACATCACGACAGGCCTGTACCCGTTTGAGGGGGACAACATCTACAAGTTGTTTGAGAACATCGGGAAGGGAGACTACACGATCCCGGGTGACTGCGGCCCCCCGCTCTCGGACTTGCTGAGAGGTGAGGCCCTCGGGACGGCACCTGGGGCTGGACGTGTCGGGCATGGGCTGCCAGGGGGTGACGGGGGTCCTAGGGGTGTTGTACTGACCACGGGCCTCTGGAGAGCTGGGCCTCCTCTCTGCAGCCCCCCGCCCTGCCCCACCCCGCTCAGGAATGGGCCTGGTTAGTGGAGAGCGGCTGAGGCTGGGGCCAGCATCCGCGGCCCTGCTGTCTGCTTTGGGCCTTTGCTCCGCCCTTTGCAACCCGCCCCCCCCAGAGGGAAGTAGCCTGGGCGCCCCAGCCTGGGCCGGGTGCTGCCTCCCGGCTCCCAGGCCCTTGGGTCTCTTCCTGCTGCATGTTGCAGGCTGAGCAGCAGGTGGCGCCGTGTAGCCGCAGCCGCCGGCCCGTCCGGGGTGGGCCCACCAGATGTGGACTGGTGGGGGCAGCCACAGCGGACATCCTGGCGTTTGGCGGGAGCCTGTTCTGATGACAGAGCAGGTGCAGAGCGTCGCCCCACATGTCCCTGGTACTTGGGAGTCCTCGCGGAGGTGGTGCCTCGGCTTCTGCTCCGGGGTGGAACGGACTGCAGCCGGGCCCTTTCTAGGCTGCACGTGACTCACGGTGGAGACGGATTCCCGCGATCCCAAGAGTGCTTATTTTCTAACAGCAGGGTTGGGCTGGTTTTTGAGTTTTGGTGAGAGTGAAGTAGAGCTCAAGATGGCTTGCTGGTCTGCAGCAGCGGACTCCACCCCTGGGCACAGGCCCGCATTGGCAGCACCCCATCCCCTCCCCGGGACCCCGGGACCCTCAAAGATGGCTGGGTGGGTGCAGTCCTGCCTCACTCGCGCTGCGGGCTGTGGCCCAGCCCTCCCGCTGCTCCGACCTGGCCTTCAGGTTCTTGGAAGTTCTCAGGCACTCCCTGGGAGGGTTGTGATGTCAGCTGGCCCTGTCCTCGAGTGTGCCCAGGACCGCCCCGCCGCCCCCCGAGGGCCGTTCCACCGGGGTTCGCTGCAGAGACGGCTACAAGGGCAGACGGGGCTCGCTCTCCTGACAGGCGCCGGCTGGCTGGTGTGTCCTCTAAATGAGGCTTTGTTCGCTCAGTCCTTCACTGCTCTTCCTCTTCTCAGTGCTCGAAACGGCCCCTGTCGGGCTGATGACCTAGATAGCAGAGGGCGTCAGGGTCCCTGTCCCCAGATCCAGGCAGGGCAGCCCTGTCCCTCACCTCCTCCACAGCATTTGCCCTAAGGCCGAGGTGGCCAGGCAGGGCTCATGGTCTGTACATCCCCCTCACCCAAGCCTGCCTCAGGGCCTTTGCGCTGGGGGTGCGTGCTCCGGAGGCTCTTCCCGTAGCCAGGACTGGTGGGGTGGCTCCCTGTGTCCCCTAGAACACCGTCCTGGCCCCAAGGCCTGGTGGCCGTCCTCCCTGCCTGCACCCTGAGGCAGAAGCTGTGGGCTCTGGGGCAGGATCTGCCCCTGGGGCCGGGCCCTCGCATGAACAAGGCAGAGAGCAGGCCCGCTGCTCCATCGTCCTCCAGCATGTGGACAGGCTGTGCGTCACTGGGCTGGGACTGTCCTGCTTCCCAGCAGCTCTGGCATCAGTGTGAACTGCATTTGCTGCCCTTTGGCTGTCTGCGCAACCATGCCCACTGCCCGTGGCTTTGCCCCTTGCTGCCGCGCAGCCTCCTGGGGCCGCAGGGCCTCGTCTCCACACAGTTAGGGCTCTGCGTCTTTGCCCCATGCCTGGGTCCGCCCTGTTGGTGGAGGCCGGGCTCGTGGGGGACCGCAGTGTGGGGGGTGGAATGCCTGGAGCACTCTGAGCTGAGGCTCCACTCCCCCATGCCAGTGCGGCCTCCTCCTGGGGGCGTCCTCTGTGCACAGGCTGACTCGGGGCAGGGCTGGGCCATGTGCCGAGCGCTGACTCCCCACGGCCTGCTGGTCTTCTGTCAGGGATGCTGGAATACGAGCCAGCCAGGAGGTTCTCCATACAGCAGATCAGACAACACAGGTGAGTGTGCGTGTGGGGCCCAGCTGCGGGGGTCGGGGTCCTCGTGGTGGGAGTAAATGGGGAGGTTCTGGGGGTGCAGGGGTGCATGATGGGGTTGGGTGGGGGTGGGATTGGGGGTCTGGGGTGCCAGGGGCCTTTCTGGCCCTCCCTCTCCTGCCCGCCCTCCCCCTCCCCGTACAGATTTTAGGGGTGGGCCCTGAGGTCGAGACCTGTGTAGGGAACTGGGCGAGCCTCCAGGCCGTCCTGACTTGCTGACTTCCACAGCTGGTTCCGGAAGAAGCACCCGCCCGCTGAGGAGCTGGTGCCCATCCCGCCGAGCACGGACTGCAAAGACCGCTGGCGTGGCATGACGGTAGTGCCCTACCTGGAGGACCTGCACGGCTGTGCTGACGACAACGGGGACGAGGACCTGTTCGATACCGAGGATGACATCATCTACACTCAGGACTTCACGGTGCCCGGTGAGCACAGCTTCACGGCCTGGCCTCCCTGTCCACCTGCCTGCGTGGCAGAGCTCACGTCCCGATGTCCCCAACCTGACCGCGACCCTGGAGGGCCTGCCGAGGGCACAGACAGCCGTGAGGGTGTGGCCGGCCCTCCCCTCCCCCACGGAAGCAGGTGGGGATCCTGGAGGGTAAAGGCAACCGGGGCGCCGCCTGTGTTCTGGGGAGCGCACATGACGTCCTGCCAGGCGGTGAGAGACGGGGGAAGCCCCTCTGACGGCCCTGAGAGGGTCCAGTGGCCCTCCTGGTGCCTGGCTGCCCGCCCTGACACGTGTCGCCTTGCTTCCTCAGGTGGCGAGGAGACGTCTGAGGCAGGGCTTAGAGAGGAGAGAGGCGCCCAGAAGAGTCAGTGCTCAGACCTTTCTGGAGAGGAAGCTGAGGCCGGGGGCGCCCGGGAGCTCGAGGCCGTAGTGTAGTGCTGCTCCCGCCCCTCACCCCCGTGCCACCCTGGGCCAGAGAGGCCAGGCCTCAGCACTCCCCACCGGCCCTCCCTGACCCTGCCCAGGTATCTGAGGGCGGCCAGGGCAGCTGCCCCACCCCCCACCCCCAGTGTTCGCCGTTCTATTCTGGGGCCAGTTTCGCAGGTTCCCATCATAAAGGCATTTGATTCCCATCATAAAGATTTGCCCGGCTGTGTGTGTGTGGGTGATGCTTGTCTCCCTTTTCCCTGGCTCGTTTGCCAAACGTTAGATTTCTGTTGTTGGAAAAACTGGTGTTTGGGGGTGGCCTGTGTGGTGGGTGGGGCTCCCGGGGACATCCCACTGGGCAGTAACACTATGGGCCCAGCACTGTTTTCCTGGCAGAGCTGGGGCGGGGTTCACGCATCCCACTCATGCAGGGGGCATGCTTGGGGGTCTGTGATGCCCATTTTGGAGGTGTCACCTGCTGGACCCCAAGCAGCTGTGGCTTTGGCTCAGCCGTTTCCGTAGAGAGTCCCGGGAGGTGATGTGGCCTTGCAGAGGTCTGTCCCCTATGTAGAACAGGAAAGAGGTGTCTGGCCTCTCAGAGGTGCTGGGCTGTTGTGTCAGGTCTTTGGGAGTGACCCTCGCTGGCAGGCCATCTGCTGTCCCAGCAGATCCCCAGAACCTTGCCAGACCACTGACTACGTGTGTGAGAGGCCAGGAGCTGCCTTTCATGGTTGGGGAGGGCTCATGCAATAGGGGCTCTCCCGGCTGGGGTCAGATGCCTGGCCCGAGAGGGTCCGTCCACGGTAGAAGCAGCAGAACTCTACTCCAGCTGGTCAGCAGGGAGGTATGCTGCGGCCAAGTCCCTCTTCACTGCAGTCCTGTGCTGGGCTCACCCTCAGAGGCTCTCAGCTGCTTGGCCTTGGTCTCCTGGGACCGTCCCCACTGGGGGGGGCTGCCTCCCACCGAGAGCTGGGTGCTGGGCCCTGGGCCGGAGGTGGGCGGTTGTGGGTGATGCTCCAGTCCTTTGAGGGTGAGGAGGCCAGACCCTGTACCCTGCCTCCCCCGCCCCCAGCCACAGTCGCTGTTCCAGTAGCTGGGCTCCAGGTGGTCTGTGCAGAGCTGCAGTACTCGGTGCCCGCGAGGCCCCTCCTCCATCAGAGCAGGGCACCTGACCCCTCTCAAGACCTCTCCCTGGCAGGACCCCATCAGCCGTGAGGAGCTCTGACCTAGGATGCTTCCTGTGTGCATGGGGGTGGCTCACGGCAAGTTCCAGAAGCTGCTGAGTCAGATACCGGGGACCGTTGGGCTGGAGGGGGCTCTGTGCTGGTGAAGAGGTGGGACTAGAGGCAGCTGGGGGCAGCTTCCCACCTGTGTCCCAGGAGGGTGGGCCATGGGCAGGAGGCCGATTTTCCATGCGCACTGAATGAGTTACGTGGGCCCTAGCAGATTGGCCGACCCCTGCATGCCCTCCTCCTCCCCCCTGCACCCCAGAGCACAGGAGTGCAGGCAGCCGTGCAGCCCCAGGCCTGTGGCGCCCGGATGCCAGCAAGGGCTGGTGCTGCCTGGTAGTGAGTAGGGGCACAGCAGGCCCCTGGCTCTGATCTCTCCATCCAGTGCCCGGTATGGGGAGCTGAGGCTGGGTCAAGGGGAAAGATGAGTGTTGCACACCTGGCCTGAGCCCAGCCCCTCCCAAGCCCCACAGGGCCCAGTGAGGTCTGGCCTCCACACAGGTGAGCGGGCCCAGGATAGGGCCCTGTGCCCCAGGACCCTGGTCCTTCACCGTGTGGTGGGGTGGAGGGTGAGCAGGGCAGCCCAACCACCTGCGTGAGAAGCCAGGCTCACACATGAGCAGGCACATGAGCGTGGGCTGGGCCCCCGCCTTGGCTAGCCGACTCTGAGGTCATTGCCCCTTCTAGCTGGATGAAGGGCCCCGCAGGCAGGACCTAGGTGGGACAGGTGGGGCAGGTGGTGGAGGATCCCGTGCCTGGGTGGAGAGGACCTAGGCCTGGGGAATGGGGTGGGGGGGGCAGGGGTGTTGGTCTTGGGCCCCCATCAGCCCACACTCGCCCTCTCCCCCCTAGGACAGGTCCCAGAGGAGGAGGCTGGTCAGAACGGGCAGAGCCGGGGCCCACCCAGAGTGGTGTGCGTGAATGGCACAGAGTCGGCCCAGCTGAGCGCCAAATCAAAGGTGGAACGCCGGGCCAGCGCCGTCTCCAACCCCACTCGCAAGGCCTGCTCGGCCAGCAGCAAGATCCGCCGGCTGTCTGCCTGCAAGCAGCAGTGAGGGAGGCCACCCACAGGTAGGCTGCTGTGGGGGCCATACTGTGGGCCCTGGCAGTGCCCGGCCCAACTCACAGCTGCAGCCACTGCTGACCAGGGCCAGTTCTGTCAGTCTGCGCCCACTGCCCCCAGGACACTGGCCAGTCGGGTGGGGGCTGGGCAGCAGTTCCCATGTGCAGGAGGGGGGCCCCTCACACTGGCGGCCTGTCCTGCCAGCCCCAGCTGATGCTGGACTCAGCCCAGAGACCTACGAGGCACTGTGTGGGTGGGTGGAAGGTTGGGATGTCTTCAGCTTGGCCCAGGCTGTCATCCTGGTGGCTGCTCGGCCCCCCTCTGCTTCCTCTTCCCGCTCCTGCCTGCCCCAGTCCAAGGTGTGTGTGGTGGGGAATCAGGCCCCAGGGGTGTTGGAGATCCCCTCATCTGCTCAGGATGCAGGTGAGGTGCCCTCTCCCGGGGAGCTGCCCCCTGCCCCCACGGCCCTGTGGTGCTTATCTGCCAGCATCAGAACCAGCCAGGAGGGCTGGGAGCCTGGCTTCCTCTGTGGAGGCTGGTGCTTAACTCCACTGGGCAGAGTGAACTACAGGGTAACCCCGGGAAGCAGCACAACCTTCCCTGGCCTCTCTGGACGTCTGACAGCCCCATATGAGCAGGCCTCAGTTTTCCCACCCTGTCAGGAGACCAGAGAGGGTGGGGCCTGCCTCCTGGGATGCAGAGCCTATTTGCTGGCCGAGGAGTGACCTGTCTGTTCCTGTCTGCAGCCCGTTTCATGGAGCCCCAGCCAGGTGCCACAGCCCAGGTCCTGAGTCTTCCCGCCGACTGCTGGCCCATGGCTGCTGCCCAGGAAGGCCACCACCACACCCTCCTTGCCGACTGCTCCTCAGGAAGCCAGGGGTCTTGGAGGGCCGTGGCTGGGGGACAGCAGGGTCTGGGGCCTGGCCTTCCCCTCATGGCCAGTGGACACGACCTCTTGTTGACTTTGCAGCCCTGTGCCAAGCCCCTTCCCCTGGCCAGGGGAGGAGGGAGCACACCGGCTCACGGGCCCTGTGGGAAGCCCTTGCCACGCACTTTATGTTCAGACTACTGGTTCTCTCCCCAGCCCTGACTTCTTTTTACTCTGCTCCACGTTAGCGCCTCCCACACCTAGTGATGTGTTCAGACAAACCACAGCCACAGCAGGAGCCGGGATGAAGAACAGGCCTGTCAACCAAGATGCATGCCCAGAGCCCAAGGGAGCCAGGCGGCTGCCTTGTTTTTGTTTGGTTGGTTCCGTTTTCTTTCTTTTTTTTTTTAAGAAAAAATAAAGCAGGTGGATTTGAGCTGTGGTTGTGAAGGGTGTTTGGGAATTGTTGGGTGGCACCGTGTCCTGCAGGTAGGGGATCTGAGTCCAAGCCCCCTTTGTGGACCTACAGCCCAGGGGGCAGGCTGGGGTCTGCAGGTCTGGTGGGCGGGTGGTGGGACCTGGGGCTTCCTTGGGGGTCAGCCTTTGGCCACGCTGGACAGCAGCCCTCCCGGTGGTGGACGGTCTCCCCAAAGGTCAGCAGGGCCCTCTGCGCAGCCCCAGGGCCCACCAGTCCACAGTGCAGCAGCCGGGGAGCTACCTGATCGCAGGACCCTGACCCTCTTTCCAAGGTCTCTGTGCTCCTGGGTCCCCAGAGAAAACCCGGACTAAGCAAGAGTGTGCAGTAAATATTTATAATCAACCAGAAAACAAACACAAGAAACTCCATCACTGGATGGTACACAGACGGCACGAAGCTCCGAGGGGCGGGGCGGGGCGGGGTGGGGCGACTCGGCCGCAGGCTAGGGCTGCCCCATCTTTTGGCAATAAATAAAGCTTGGGAAACTTGAAACCTTGGCCGTTTGGGTTTTGTGTGTCTCCAAACATTAATGAGTTCTGGCAGCTCTTTGGACGGTGCAAGTGCGGGGCGGGCAGGTGGCCCACTCACATGCTTGGGGCGGGCGCGGAGACTTGGGACACGGTGGGCGGGAGGGGGCGGCGCGGGCTGTGGTTTATTGCTCGGAGGGGGCGCAGACTGCCGCGAGCACATGCCGCGTTGAGGTAAACAGCTTCAGGGGTTTGGCGGCTGCGGCCTCCACCCAACCTGCCAGCCCAGAGTGAGCGCGCCCGTCGCCCGTCTTCCATGCCCCCGCAGTCTGGGTCCCCGCGGGCTCGGCGCATGCGCCCCGCTGCAGACTCCGGCGCGTGCAGCCCGAGCCCCCTCGAGGCTCCACCGGCCCCGGGAGGGGCGCCCCGCGCAAGCGCCTCACTCTGTTCCTCCACACGGACTCTCCAAGGTGCAGGTCCTGGGCGTGCGCCTCCCGGTGCTCTGTGCCCAAGACGCCCCCACCCAGAGGCTGCCGTCTGGGGCCAAAGGCAGATGAACGTAGTCCTCAGGGGCTCGAAGATGTGAACCTGCCCCGCTCCCTCCAGTCCAGCCCCGCACTTTGAAGAGCCACAGAGGGACGCGGCTCGTGCCCGGTGGGGACTGTGCGCGTGCGCACCGGGGGCGGCTCGAGGGTGTCCCGAGGACGTGAGCATGCGCACTTGGGGGGCGGCTAGAGGCCGTGCGCGTGCTTGTGCGCAGCCCCGCGGCCCCGGCGTGTGCCCGCCGGAGCGTCGCGCCCCAGGCGTGTCCGGCGGCGGAGGTCCCGAGCGGCGCGGGAGAAGCTGACGAGGTGGGTGCGGGACGCAGGGCTTAGGCCGGGCTATGGTCAGGAGACGTCGGCGCGGCGGCGGCGGCGGCCAGCGCAGGAGCCGTGGCGATGGGCTGGGCGAGGCGCGGCGGGAAGAGTCTGTCGTCGATGCCAGCCGCCAGCTTGTCCAGCAGCGTTCCCGGGGGCCCGACGCACAGGCCCGAGCCGGGGCAGCTGCCGCTGCCGCCGCCGGGCTCCTCCTCGATGACAGGGATAGCGGGCGCAGCCGGGTCATCGCCCGCGCGGCCCTCAGGCGGGCAGTCGACACTGTCGCCTCGGCGCAGAGGTGCGCGTGTGGGACGGGAG